CAGTTTCTGAAGGAGGAAAGATAGGGTATTTTAAAATGGCCGTAACTCCTTAAATATTGACATTTCGGGCTTTTTAGCGTGTTTTAAATTGCAGTTTCTGAATGAGGAAAAATAGGGTATTTTAAAATGGCCATAACTCCTTAAATATTGACATTTCGGGCTTTTTAGCGTGTTTTAAATTGCAGTTTCTGAAGGAGGAAAAATAGGGTATTTTAAAATGGCCATAACTCCTTAAATATTGACATTTCGGGTTTTTTAGCGTGTTTTAAATTGCAGTTGCTTAAAGATTGCAGTTTCTTAAAATTGCAGTTTCTTAAAGAGGAAAAATAGGGTATTTTAAAATGGCCATAACTCCCTAAATATCGACATTTCGGGCTTTTTAGTGTGTTTTAAATTGCAGTTTCTGAAGGAGGAAAAATAGGGTATTTTAAAATGGCCATAACTCCTTAAATATTGACATTTCGGGCTTTTTAGCGTGTTTTAAATTGCAGTTTCTGAATGAGGAAAAATAGGGTATTTTAAAATGGCCATAACTCCCTAAATATCGACATTTCGGGTTTTTTAGCGTGTTTTAAATTGCAGTTTCTGAAGGAGGAAAAATAGGGTATTTTAAAATGGCCATAACTCCTTAAATATTGACATTTCGGGTTTTTTAGCGTGTTTTAAATTGCAGTTGCTTAAAGATTGCAGTTTCTTAAAATTGCAGTTTCTTAAAGAGGAAAAATAGGGTATTTAGAAATGACCATAACTCCTTAAATATTGACATTTCGGGCTTTTTAGCGTGTTTTAAATTGCAGTTTCTTCAGGAGGAAAAATAGGGTATTTTAAAATGGCCATAACTCCTTAAATATTTACATTTCGGGCTTTTTAGCGTGTTTTAAATTGCAGTTTCTTAAAGAGGAAAAATAGGGTATTTTAAAATGGCCATAACTCCTTAAATATTGACATTTCGGGCTTTTTAGCATGTTTTAAATTGCAGTTTCTTCAGGAGGAAAAATAGGGTATTTAAAAATGGCCATAACTCCTTAAATATTGACATTTCGGGCTTTTTAGCGTGTTTTAAATTGCAGTTTCTGAAGGAGGAAAAATAGGGTATTTTAAAATGGCCATAACTCCTTAAATATTGACATTTCGGGCTTTTTAGCGTGTTTTAAATTGCAGTTTCTTAAAGAGGAAAAATAGGGTATTTTAAAATGGCCATAACTCCTTAAATATTGACATTTCGGGCTTTTTAGCGTGTTTTAAATTGCAGTTTCTTCAGGAGGAAAAATAGGGTATTTTAAAATGGCCATAACTCCTTAAATATTGACATTTAGGGCTTTTTAGCGTGTTTTAAATTGCAGTTTCTGAAGGAGGAAAAATAGGGTATTTTAAAATGGCCATAACTCCTTAAATATTGACATTTCGGGCTTTTTAGCGTGTTTAAATATTGACATTTCGGGCTTTTTAGCGTGTTTTAAATTGCAGTTTCTTAAAGAGGAAAAATAGGGTATTTAAAATGGCCATAACTCCTTAAATATAGACATTTCGGGCTTTTTAGCGTGTTTTAAATTGTAGTTTCTTAAAGAGGAAAAATAGGGTATTTTAAAATGGCCATAACTCCTTAAATATTGACATTTCGGGCTTTTTAGCGTGTTTCAAATTGCAGTTTCTGAAGGAGGAAAAATAGGGTATTTTGAAATGGCCATAACTCCTTAAATATTGACATTTCGGGCTTTTTAGCGTGTTTTAAATTGCAGTTTCTTAAAGAGGAAAAATAGGGTATTTTAAAATGGCCATAACTCCTTAAATATAGACATTTCGGGCTTTTTAGCGTGTTTCAAATTGCAGTTTCTGAAGGAGGAAAAATAGGGTATTTTGAAATGGCCATAACTCCTTAAATATTGACATTTCGGGCTTTTTAGCGTGTTTTAAATTGCAGTTTCTTCCGGAGGAAAAATAGGGTATTTTAAAATGGCCATAACTCCTTAAATATTGACATTTCGGGCTTTTTAGCGTGTTTAAATATTGACATTTCGGGCTTTTTAGCGTGTTTTAAATTGCAGTTTCTGAAGGAGGAAAAATAGGGTATTTTAAAATGGCCATAACACCTCCCACCCCTACATATAACTCCTCCACCTATCTACAATTGTCAAGTAATCGCTAAACTAGCCCAAAACCAAAAATCACAGCCACCAACGAAAAAGAAAAGAAAAAGTTCATTTCGTTGTTCCTCTTCCTCCTAGCCCATGACTCCGGCTGACGATGGAAAAATGCAAAGTTACCACAATGAGTTTTTCACTCGCCTGATGTTGGAATAATGAAGAGACAAAACTTTTCTGAAGGCTTGTAATTTTTGTTTAGCAAAGTTTTTTTTTTTCACACTCGTTACTGTTGTTCTTGTTTTTATTCCATGGTTGAGTTTGTTCGTTTGTTGCTTGTTCTTTTGTTTGGTATCCAATAGGCGACAGCTTGGTGGTTTCAGACTTACAGAACAATGTAATGCCAAGCCATGGTTGACGAAGTAGAAGATAAACGGGAGGATATTTAAATTTAAGATTTTTGCGTTTAAAATTTAGAAAAAAAAAATTAAAGAAGGGAAGAAAGGAAATCAATTGAACCAGTTCACCAACTCACCTAAGGTTCACCAACTCACCTAAGGTTCACCAGCTCAACTAAGGTTCACCAGCTCAACTAAGGTTTACCAGCTCACCTAAGGTTCATCAGCTCACTTGAAGTTCACCAGCCCACATGAGGTTCACCAGCTCACCTGAGGTTCACCAGCGCACCTATGATTTACAAGCTCACCAATGGTTCACTAGCTCACCTAAGGTTCATCAGCTCACCTGAGGTACAATAGCTCACGTGAAGTTAATCAGCTCACCTGAGGTTCAATAGCTCACGTGAGGTTCACAAGCCCACCTGAGGCTCACTAGCCCAAAGTACAACAGCTCACCTAAGGTTCACCACCGCAGCCAAGGTTCATTAGTTCACCCAAGGTTCCCTAGCTCCCCTAAGGTTCCCTAGCTCCCCTAAGGTTCACCAGCTCACCTAAGGTTCACTAGTTCACCCAAGGTTCACCAGCTCACACAAGGTTCACCAGCTCACACAAGGTTCACCAGCACACCTTAGGTTCACCAGTTCACCTCAGCTTCACCAGCTTACCTTAGGTTCACCAGTTCACCAGCTCACCTTAGGTTCACCAGTTCACCTCAGGTTCACCAGTTCACCTCAGGTTCACTAGCTCACCTAAGGTTCACCAGTTCACCTCAGGTTCACCAGCTCACCTAAGGTTCACCAGTTCACCTCAGGTTCACCAGCTCACCTAAGGTTCACTAGCTCACCTAAGGTTCACCAGCTCACCTAAGGTTCACCAGCTCACCTAAGGTTCACCAGTTCACCGCAGGTTCACCAGCTCACCTAAGGTTCACCAGTTCACCTCAGGTTCACCAGCTCACCTAAGGTTCACCAGTTCACCTCAGGTTCACCAGCTCACCTAAGGTTCACTAGCTCACCTAAGGTTCACTAGCTCACCTAAGGTTCACCAGCTCACCTAAGGTTCACCAGCTCACCTAAGGTTCACCAGCTCACCTAAGGTTCACCAGCTCACCTAAGGTTCACCAGCTCACCTAAGGTTCACCAGCTCACCTAAGGTTCACCAGCTCACCTAAGGTTCACCAGCTCACCTAAGGTTCACCAGCTCACCTAGGGTTCACCAGCTCACCTAGGGTTCACCAGCTCACCTAGGGTTCACCAGCTCACCTAGGGTTCACCAGCTCACCTAGGGTTCACCAGCTCACCTAAGGTTTACCAGCTCACCTAAGGTTCACCAGCTCACCTAAGGTTCACCAGCTCACCTAGGGTTCACCAGCTCACCTAAGGTTCACCAGCTCACCTAAGGTTCACCAGCTCACCTTAGGTTCACCAGCTCACCTTAGGTTCACCAGCTCACCTAAGGTTCACCAGCTCACCTAAGGTTCACCAGCTCACCTAAGGTTCACCAGCTCACCTAAGGTTCACCAGCTCACCTAAGGTTCACTAGCTCACCTAAGGTTCACTAGTTCACCCAAGGTTCACCAGCTCACACAAGGTTCACCAGCTCACACAAGGTTCACCAGCTCACACAAGGTTCACCAGTTCACCTCAGGTTCACCAGCTTACCTTAGGTTCACCAGCTTACCTTAGGTTCACCAGCTCACCTTAGGTTCACCAGTTCACCTCAGGTTCACCAGCTCACCTTAGGTTCACCAGTTCACCTCAGGTTCACCAGCTCACCTAAGGTTCACCAGTTCACCTCAGGTTCACCAGCTCACCTAAGGTTCACCAGTTCACCTCAGGTTCACCAGCTCACCTAAGGTTCACCAGTTCACCTCAGGTTCACCAGCTCACCTAAGGTTCACCAGTTCACCTCAGGTTCACCAGCTCACCTAAGGTTCACCAGTTCACCTCAGGTTCACCAGCTCACCTAAGGTTCACTAGCTCACCTAAGGTTCACCAGCTCACCTAAGCTAAGGTTCACCAGCTCACCTAAGGTTCACCAGCTCACCTAAGGTTCACCAGCTCACCTAAGGTTCACCAGCTCACCTAAGGTTCACCAGCTCACCTAAGGTTCACCAGCTCATCTAAGGTTCACCAGCTCATCTAAGGTTCACCAGCCCAACCAAAGTTCACCAGCTCATATAAGGTTGACCAGCTTAGCTAAGGTTGACCAGCTCACCTAAGGTTCATCAGTTCACCTAAGGTTCACCAGCTCAACTATGGTTCACCAGCTCTCCTAAGGTTCACCAGCTCGCCTATGGTTTCCCAGCTTACCTAATAGCCCAAAAGTTGACCGATAGTCCAAAGGTTCATCAAGGGTTCACAGGAACATCATTGGTTTACCGATTCATCATTGGTTCAGAGTCTCAACTTAAGTTCCCAAGAAGTAGAACAGTTAACCTATGGTTTTTAGGAACTATCGAAGCCATGGATACCATATTTTCATTTTCAAATCTGTAATTACTTTATTTTTGAAAATCCATTCAAGATATTATAGCATCCACCTCAATGTCGATGACAAACTCCATGTTCTTTTTCTTATAATTACCAAAGAAACAATAGCCCTTAATGCGATAATCTCCAGCAAATAAATATGATGGTATGAGTGAGGCATCCGGCCTCCAATCGTGCACGTAATAATGACCCACAGACACTGGACAATTTTGCATAAAATTACCATTTTTTAGCAACGATTCGAACCATCGTTTAAATATGGAATTTCTCAGGGATACAACCAATTCGCAAACATTCAAGGCATAGGAGAAAAGTTTCTGATGTTTTCGCGAATTATTCAAACGCAGTTGGACCTCAGCATTGGTTTTGAATCCCTGACGCAGGGGTTTTATTAACATCATGTCAGCATTAATTGTGGAATTTTCGATCGACAAGGTAAAATTGGAAAAATATTTCGGATTGAAACGAACTCTGCTGCCGAAGAAGGCAATGCTAGTCGTCTGCAATGAGAGTGAGTAGGAAATTATAGAATTCTGTCCAGGAGTTTTAATTCATTTTCCATACCCCACAGACCAACTCGATCAAAACTGACAGCAGCAGAAAATATATGCAAAGGTATTGCGGCTCCATTCTTTCGCCAACTTTAAAGTTTCAATTTCAAATGTTTTAAAAATACACAGAATTTCGATTCTAATGGAATTAATGTCTAAATAATTCGGTTAATTAACTTTGCCCAACGGGAGAATTGTTTTGTAATAGAAATGTCATAATGAGCTATAGGAAAAACAAATTAGAAAAAAATCGCAACAATTAAAATCGACCGTAAAATTAAACTGGCGCAAGCGGGGCACAAATTGATATTAAATTAAACAAAATGTTCAATCCATTTAATGATGATTGGAATTAGATTTTGAACGGATTAAAAATACTAATTGACTGGCGCCTGGCAAAGGGGTAGCAAATTTCCTCCTCTCCTTTTTCACTGCAAACCTCAGATCGTTAAGCTCGCCTCGAAAGAGAAATAAAGAAAATATTTTATGCCTATTCTTTATATTAAAATCTTTTATTAAATGATTGTTATTCTAAAGTGGCGCCCAACGGATAGCCGTAAGCATCACATTCTTTAATATACTCAGAGATATCCAATCTCACCAATATTGGATATCTCATGAGATCATCCATGGTTCACCAGCTTACCTAAGGTTCACCAGCTTACCTAAGGTTCACCAGCTCAGCTAGGGTTCACCAGCTCACCTGGGGTTCACCAGCTCACCTGGGGTTCACCAGCTCACCTGGGGTTCACCAGCTCACCTGGGGTTCACCAGCTCACCTGGGGTTCACCAGCTCACCTGGGGTTCACCAGCTCACCTGGGGTTCACCAGCTCACCTGGCGTTCACCAGCTCACCTGGGGTTCACCAGCTCACCTGGGGTTCACCAGCTCACCTGGCGTTCACCAGCTCACCTGGGGTTCACCAGCTCATCTAGGGTTCACCAGCTCATCTATGGTTCACCAGCTCATGTATGGTTCACCAGCTCACCTGGGGTTCACCAGCTCATGTATGGTTCACCAGCTCACCTAGGGTTCACCAGCTCACCCATGGTTCACCAGCTCACCTAGGGTTCACCAGCTCACCCATGGTTCACCAGCTCACCTAGGGTTCACCAGCTCACCCATGGTTCACCAGCTCACCTAGGGTTCACCAGCTCACCTGAGGATCACCAGCTCACCTATGGTTCACCAGCTCACCTATGGTTCACCAGTTCACCTATGGTTCACCAGCTTACCTATGGTTCCAGCTCACCTATGGTTCACCAGCTCACCTAGGGTTCATCAGCTCACCTAGGGTTCATCAGCTCACCTAGGGTTCACCAGCTCACCTAGTGTTCACCAGATCACCCAGGGTTCACCAGCTCACCTAGGGTTCAACAGCTCACCTAGGGTTCCCCAGCTCACCTAAGGTTCACCAGCTCACCTACGTTTCACCAGCTCAGCCATGGTTTACCAGCTCAGCCATTGTTCACTAGCTCGCCTATAGTTCAATTGCTCACCCATGGTTTCACCAGCTCACCTAGGTTTCACCAGCTCACCTAGGGTTCACCAGCTCACCTAGGGTTCACCAGCTCACCTAGGGTTCACCAGCTCACATAGGGTTCACCAGCTCACATAGGGTTCACCAGCTCACCTAGGGTTCACCAGCTCACATAGGGTTCACCAGCTCACCTAGGGTTCACCAGCTCACCTAGGGTTCACCAGCTCACCTAGGGTTCACCAGCTCACCTAGGGTTCACCAGCTCACCTAGTGTTCACCAGATCACCCAGGGTTCACCAGCTCACCTAGGGTTCACCAGCTCACCTAGAGTTCACCAGCTCACATAGGGTTCACCAGCTCACCTAGGGTTCACCAGCTTACATAGGGTTCATCAGCTCACCTACGTTTCACCAGCTCAGCCATGGTTTACCAGCTCAGCCATTGTTCACTACCTCGCCTATAGTTCAATTGCTCACCCATGGTTATCTGATACACCTAAGAGTCTCAGGCTCACGTATGGTTCTCCAATATCTAATTGTTCTGTGTTCTTATCAATAAAAATCCTCAAGGCCGAATTTTCCTTTTCTCAGTAGCAGATCTTTTATTTTGTTTTTGATTTGAGTAACTATTCAAGATATTACCGCATCCACATCGATGGCAAAGAGAAATTCCATATTCTTTTTTTTATAATTTCCATAGAAACAATAGCCTTTAATGCGATAATCTCCAGCAAATAAATATGATGGTATGAGGGAGGCATCCGGCCTCCACCCATGCACATAGTAATGACCCTCGGCAACGGGACAGTTTTGCATGAAATTGCTATATTTTAACAAAGATTCAAACCATTTTTTGAAAATCGAACTTCTTAGGGAGACAATCAATTCACAAATATTCAAAACATAGGAAAATAATTTCTGATGTGTTTTGGAATTATTCAAACGTAGTTGCACCTCAATGTTGGCTTTGAATCCCTGGCGCAGGGATTTCAATAACATCAGGTCCGCATTAATGGTAGAATTTTCCGTGAATAGGGTCAAATTGGAAAAATATTTGGAATTGTAACGAACTCGACTGCCAAGAAATGCAATTTTAGTCGTCTGAAAAGAGAGGCAGAGTTCTGGGTATAATTTTCAGGACCTGGAATTAATTTTACTTACCCCATGGACCAGGCCAACCCATTGTGAGAGCAGCACGAAATACAGAAAAAGGAACAGTTGTCTAATCATCTTACCACCCGGAAAGTTTATATTATAAATGTTTTAAAAAATCATAAATATTTATTTTCCCTAGAATTAAAATTTGAATATTTTGCTTAATGACTCAAAAATATGGGTAATTGGTTTTGCCTATTATCGTCATTAATCAGTTATAGAAAAACTAATTGGACACAACTAAACCAATTAAAATTTGACTTTAAAAAACAACCTATCATAACCGATTCAAATTTGAACAAAACATTTTTGATTTCAATGAATGTTTTACGTCATATACCATTATATGGTGCCTAAGAAGGGGGGCCCCTTCTCCCCCGAATTCTAAATCACTATCTATTACTATTAAATAATTTTAATGTACTTTTTAATATTTTTCCTAGAGAAGATAATACTACAGTTTATGCAATCCAACAGTGGCGCCCAACAGATGGCTGCAAATAAAGCAACAGTTTTGTGAAGTTTTTTTTTTAAGTCAAAGGCACACAGAAGTTCAAGAAAAGCCCTCCTAAGGTTTACTAGGTTAAAAAGCTCAACTATGGTTGAAAAACTTACCTAAGGTTCACAAACTCACTACCTCATCCTAGGTCCACTGGCTCTTCTTAGGTTCACTAGCTCATCTAAAGTTCAGTAGTTCACCGAAGCTTCAATGCATCACCAGCTCATCTTAATATCACTAGCTCTCCTTACGTTCACTACCTCACGTAAGGTTCACTAGCTCACATTAGGTTCACTAGCTCAACTAAGGTTCCCTAGCTCAACTATGGTTCACTAGCTCATCCAAGGTTCACCAGCTCACCTAAGGTTCACCAGCTCACCCAAGGTTAACCAGCTCACCTAAGGTTCACCAGCTCAACTAAGGTTCACCAATTCACCTAAGGTTCACCAGCTTACCTACGGTTCTCCAGCTCACCTATGGTTCACCAGCTCACCTATGGTTCACCAGCTCACCTATGGTTCACCAGCTCATCTAAATATCACTAGCTTTCATAACTTTTAGTAGCTCACCTATGGTTCACCATCTCACCTATGGTTCACCAGCTCACCTGCGGTTCACCAGCTCACCTGCTGTTCACAAGCTCAACTATGGTTCACCAGCTTGCCTGCTGTTCACCAGCTCACCTATGGTTCACCAGCTTACCTATCGTTCGCAAGCTCACCTACGATTCACCAGCTTACCTACGGTTCACAAGCTCAACTACGGTTCACAAGCTCACCTAAGGTTCACCAGCTCACCTAAGGTTCACTAGCTCACCTAAGGTTCACTAGCTCACCTAAGGTTCACAAGCTCACCTAAGGTTCACCAGCTCACCTAAGGTTCACCGGCTCACCTAAGGTTCACCAGCTCACCTAAGGTTCACCGGCTCACCTAAGGTTCACCAGCTCACCTAAGGTTCACCGGCTCACCTAAGGTTCACCAGCTCACCTAAGGTCCACCAGCTCACCTAAGGTTCACCAGCTCACCTAAGGTTGACAAGCTCACATGAGGTTGACCAGCTCACTTAAGGTTGACCAGCTCACCTAAGATTCACTAACTCACTAAGGTTCATTAGCACACCTAAGGTTCACCAGCTCACCTAAGGTTCTCCAGCTCACCTAAAGTTCTCCAGCTCACCTAAGGTTCACCAGCTCACCTTAGGTTCACCAGCTCACCTAAGGTTCACCAGCTCACCTTAGGTTCACCAGCTCACCTAAGGTTCACCAGCTCACCTAAGGTTCACCAGCTCACCTAAGGTTCACCAGCTCACCTAAGGTTCACCAGCTCACCTAAGGTTCACCAGCTCACCTATGGTTCACCAGCTCACCTACGGCTCACCAGCTCACCTATGGTTCACCAGCTCACCTATGGTTCACCAGCTCACTTATGGTTCACCAGCTCACCTACGGTTCCCAAGCTCACCTAAGGCTCCCCATTTCACTGTCTCTCCAGTTCACTGCCTTCCCTAAGTTTTCCCAGCTCACCTAAGGTTCTTCAGTTCACCAGCTCACCTAAGATTCACCAGCTCACCTAAGGTTCTGAGTTCACATAATCTAACTATTCGTCGCCTTTTTATATCAATCAGATTTTCTAAATTTTCATTTGCAAATTGGTGGATATTTTATTTCTTGAAATCAAATCCATTTAAGATATTACAGCATCGACTTCAATCTCAACGATAAATTCCATATTCTTTTTTTTATAATTGCCAAAAAAACAATAGCCCTTGATGCGATAATCTCCAGCAAATAGATATGATGGTATAAGTGTGGCATCAGGCTCCCAGCCATGCACGTAATAATGACCCGCGGAAATGGGACAGTTTGGCATAAAATTGCTGAATTTTAACAAAGATTCAAACCATTTTTTGAAAATTGTAGACCTCAGAGAGACAATCAATTCGCAAACATTCAAGACGGAAGAAAATAATTTCTGATGCGTTTTTGAATTTTTCAAACGTAATTGTACCTCAGCATTGGCTTTGATTCCCTGACGTAGGAGTTTTAATAACTTGAAGTCCGCGTTGATTGTAGAGTTTTCGGTGAAGACTGTTAAATTGGAAAAGTACTTGGGATTGTAGCGAACTCGACTGCCAAGAAATGAAATTTTCGTCACCTGTAAGGAGATATATGCCTATGAATCGTGTCCAAGACCTGGTAATTATTTTACATACCCCATAGACCTGTCCCACCAATTCTGTGAGCAGCATAAAATTTAGAACAAGGCACAGCTGCTTCATGATCTTACCATCTGGAAAGTTTCCATTACAAATGATTCAAAAAATCGTAAACTTCTCATTCTAATATAATCCAAATTTTAACATTTTGATTAATGACTAAATAGTTCGGTTAATTGGATTTGTCTACCGGGAAAATTGGTTTGCAATAGAAATAATGTAATCACAAATGGGAAAAACAAATTATAATCAAATAAAATTTTCCATACATTTTTTTTTAATTATATTGACAAATAAGATATTCACCACCTCAATATATGCAAATACATTGGGAAGGGTGGGATAACACAAAGTTTAAATAAAACACAATTTGTTTTATATACAATTTCAATATTTTATTTTAAAAATTGTTTACGGAAAGTAAGAATAAAGTTAGAACAATTGTGAAAGGCAAGTGGCGCCCAATAGTTTGATCGAAGAGGTTTATAAAAACAATATAATTCTCAACTGATCCGAGAAATCAGGTCCATCAAAGATTAGCACCCAGTCTATGATTAAGCGGATCCTTACTGTTCAGCAGTTCCTTAATGGCTCAGCAGCTCCTAAGATCCTAGTAGCTTAAAAAATTCAAAAATTTCAATTTCAGTTTCACTAACTCGCCTAACGCTCACCAAAGTAGCTTAGATTCGCTAACTCACCTAAGCTACACCAGCACACCTATGGTTCAACAACTCTCCTAAGGTTACAAACTCACCTACGGTTCACCAGATCACCTAAGATTCACCAGCCCAACTAAGCTTCACCAGATCGCCTAAAATTCACCAGCTCATCTAAGGTTCACTAGATCAGCTTTGGTTCAACAGCTCACCTATGGTTCAACAGCTCACCTAAGGGTCCCCAGCTCACATACGGTTCACCAGCTCACATACGGTTTACCAGCTCACCTACGGTTCACCAGCTCACATACGGTTCACCAGCTCATCTACGGTTTACAAGATCACTTACGGTTCAATAGTTCACCTATGGTTCACCAACTCACCTATGGTTCACCAACTCACCTATGGTTCACCAACTCACCTATGGTTCACCAGCTCACCTACGGTTCACTAATTCACCTATGGTTCACCAGCTCACCTACGGTTCACTAATTCACCTATGGTTCACCAGCTCACCTATGGTTCACTAATTCACCTATGGTTCACCAGCTCACCTACGGTTCACTAATTCACCTATGGTTCACCAGCTCAACTACGGTTCAATGGTTTACCAGCTTTACTATGGTTCACCAGCTCACCTACGGTTCACTAATTCACCTATGGTTCACCAGCTCCCCTACGGTTCACCAGCTCCCCTACGGTTCACCAGCTCCCCTACGGTTCACCAGCTCACCTATGGTTCACTAGTTCACCTACGGTTCACCAACTCACCTATGGTTCACCAGCTCACCTTCGGTTCACTAGTTCTCCTAAGGTTCACCAGCTCACCTTCGGTTCACTAGTTCTCCTAAGGTTCACCAGCTCACCTAAGGTTCACTAGTTCTCCTAAGGTTCACCAGCACACCTAAGGTTCACTAGTTCTCCTAAGGTTCACCAGCTCACCTAAGGTTCACTAGTACTCCTAAGGTTCACCAGCTCACCTAAGGTTCACTAGTTCTCCTAAGGTTCACCAGCTCACCTAAGGTTCACTAGTTCTCCTAAGGTTCACTAGTTCTCCTAAGGCTCACCAGCTCACCTATGGTTCACCAGCTCACCTATGGTTCACCAGCTCAACTACGGTTCACAAGTTCACCTTAGGTTCACCAGGTCACCTAAGGTTCAACAGCTCACCGATGGTTCACCAGGTCACCTAAGTTTCCCTAGCTCATCTAAGGTTCCCCAGCTCACCTAAGATTCCTTAGCTCACCTATAGTTCACCAGCTCTCCTAAGGTTCCCCCGGACATTTATGGTTCCCCAGCTCACCTAAGGTTCCCCCGGACATTTATGGTACCGCAGCTCACCCAAGGTTACCCCGGACATTTATGGTTCCCCAGCTAACCTATGGTTCCCCAGCTCACCTAAGGGTCCCCAGCACACCTAAGGTTCCCCAGCTCACCTAATTCTTTCCAACTCACCTAAGGCTCTCCAGCTTACCTAAGGCTCCCCAGCACACCTAAGGTTCCCCAGGTCACCTAAGGTTCCCCAGCTAACCTATGGTTCCCCAGCTCACCTAAGATTCCTTAGCTCACCTAAGCTTCCCAAGCTCACCTATAGTTCACCAGTTCTCCTAAGGTTCCCCCGGACATTTATGGTTCCCCAGCTCACCTAAGGTTCGCCCGGACATTTATGGTTCCGCAGCTCACTTCAGGCTACCCCGGACATTTAAGGTTCCCCAGCACACCTATGGTTCCCCAGCACACCTATGGTTCCCCAGTACACCTATGGTTCCCCAGCTCACCTAAGGGTCCCCAGCACACTTAAGGTTCCCCAGCTCACCTAAGGGTCCCCAGCACACCTAAGGTTCCCCAGCTCACCTAATTCTCTCCAACTCACCTAAGGCTCTCCAGCTTACCTAAGGTTCCCCAGCTCACTTAAGTTTCCCCAGCTCACCTAATGTTCCCTACCTCACCTATGGTTCAACTAATCGTTCTGTTTTTATATCAGTCAGATTCTCTAAATTTTCATTTGCAAATTAGTGAATATTTTATTTCTGGAAAACAATTCCATTTAAGATATTACAGCATCGACTTCCATGTCGATGAGAAACTCCATGTTCTTCTTTTTATAATTGCCATAGAAACAATAGCCCCTAATGCGGTAATCACCAGCAAATAGATATGCTGGTATGATGGAGGCATCCGGCCTCCAATCACGCAAGTAGTAATGGCCCTCAGGAACAGGACAGTTTTGCATAAAATTGCTGTATTTTAATATGGATTCAAACCATTTTCTGAAAATTGTCTTCCTCAGGCCGACAAGCATATCACAAACATCCAAAACGTGGTTAAACAATTTCTGATGGGTTTTAGAATTGTTTAAACGTAGTTTGAACTCAACGTTGGCTTTGAATCCCTGTCGCAGAGGTTTTACTACCATTATGTCCGCATAAATTGCCGAATTTTCGGTGAAAAGCGTAAGATTGGAAAAATGTTTGGGGTTGAAACGAACTCGACTGGCTAGGAACTCAATTTTAGTCGTCTGTAAATAGAGGGAGAGATCTGGGTATAATTATTTTATATACCCTGGTAATTATTTTACATACCCCATTGACCTGTTCAAGCATTTGTGAGACCACCACGAAATTTAGAACAAGGCAGAGCTGCTTCATCGTCTTACCACCTGGAATGCTTTCATTGCAAATGACTCAAAAAATCATAAACTTGCGATTTTAATAGAATCCAAATTTAAACACTTTTGCTAATGACGGCATAGTTCGGTTAATTGGATTTGTCTAGCAGGAAAATTGGTTTGCAATAGAGATTATGTAATCACTTATGAAAAAAAAAACAAATTATAATCATATACCATTTACCATATGCTGATCAAAATAACGCGTTGACCCCATTGACATAAGCAAATAGATTGGCGCCCAATTAAGGGAGAGGTGGTGTAAAATTAAGATTAAATATATAAAATTTGTAAAAAAAACTATTTGTGGAAAATTAGAATAAATTTGAGACGGTTGAACAAACGAAGTGGCGCCCAATAAGTGGCCTCAAATGGTCTAAGATGTTTTTAAACACTTTTTTCACAGTTAAATGTCCAGAGACCATCAGGTTTTATATAAGCTCGCCCAAGGGTCACTGCTCACCTAGGGTTCACTAGCTCAACCAGGGGTCACTGCTCACCTATGGTTCACCTATGGGGTCACTGTTAATATAAGGTTCACTAGTTCAACTATGGGTCACCAGCTCACCTAGGGTTCACTAGTTCAACTATGGGTCACCAGCTCACCTAGGGTTCACTAGTTCACCTATGGTTCACCAGCTCACCTACGGTTCACTAGGTCACCCATGGTTTACTATCTCAGTGGCTCACCAATAGTTCACTAGGTCACCCATGGTTAACCAGCTCATCCATGGTTGAGTAGTTCACCAATGATTCACCAGCTCACCCAGGGCTCACCAACTCACCTGCGGTTCACTAGCTCAACCAGGGCTCACCAACTCACCTACGGTTCACTAGCTCACCTATGGTTCACCAGCTCAACTATGGTTCACCAGGTCACCTATGGGTCACCAGCTCACCTATAGTTCACTAGCTCACCCAGGGCTTACCTATGGTTCACTAGTTCACCTATGGTTCACCAGTTCACCTATGGTTCACTAGTTCACCTATGGTTCACCAGCTCACCTATGGTTCACCAACTCACCTATGGTTCACCAACTTACCTATGGTTCACTAGCTCACCTATGGTTCACCAACTCACCTATGGTTTACTAGCTCACCTATGGTTTACTAGCTCACCTATGGTTCACCAGCTCACCTATGGTTCACCAGCTCACCTATGATTCACCAGCTCACCTATGGTTCACCAGCTCACCTATGATTCACCAGCTCACCTATGGTTCACCACCTCACCTATGGTTCACCAGCTCATCCATGGTTGACTAGTTCACCAATGATTCACCAGCTCACCAGAGCTCACAAACTCACCTACAGTTCACTAGCTCACGCAGGGCTCACCAACTCACCTACGGTTCACAAGCTCACCCAGGGCTCACCAGCTCATCAATGGTTCACCAGTTCACCTATGGTTCACAAGCTCACACAGGGCTCACCTGTGGTTCACCAGCTCACCCAGGGCTCACCAGCTCACCTATGGTTCACTAGCTCACCCAGGGCTCACCAGCTCATCAATGGTTCACCAGCTCACCTATGGTTCACAAGCTCACCCAGAGATCACCTATGGTTCACTAGCTCACACAGGGCTCACCTGTGGTTCACCAGCTCACCCAGGGCTCACCAGCTCACCCAGGGCTCACCAGCTCACCTATGGTTCACTAGTTCACCCAGGGCTCACCATGTCACCTATGGTTCACTAGTTCACCCAGGGCTCACCATGTCACCTATGGTTCACTAGTTCACCCAGGGCTCACCATGTCACCTATGGTTCACTAGTTCACCCAGGGCTCACCAGCTCACCTATGGTTCACTAGTTCACCCAGGGCTCACCAGCTCACCTATGGTTCACTAGTTCACCCAGGGCTTACCAGCTCACCTATGGTTCACTAGTTCACCCAGGGCTCACCAGCTCACCTATGGTTCACTAGTTCACCCAGGGCTCACCAGCTCATCTATGGTTCACTAGCTCACCCAGGGCTCACCAGCTCACCTATGGTTCACTAGCTCACCAGCTCACCTATGGTTCACCAGCTCACGAATGGTACACTAGCTTACCCAGGTCTCACCTATGGTTCACAAGCTCACCTATGGTTCACCAGCTCACCCAGGGCTCACCAGCTCATACAGGGTTCACCAACTCACCTATGGTTCACCAACCCATCCAGGGTTTACCTATGGTTCACTAGCTCACCTATGGTTCACTAGCCCACCTATGGTTTAGTAGCACACCTAAAGTTCCACAGCCCACCTAAGGTTCCCCAGCCCACCTAAAGTTCCGCAGCGTACCTAAGGTTCTCCAGCTTACTTTGGGATCACCAGGTCACCTAAGCGTTCACCAGATCACCAAAGGTTACTCAACTCACCTAGGGTTCACAAGTTCACCTATGGTTCACCAGCTTACCTAAGGTTCCTCAACTTACCTAAAGTTCACCAGCTTCGACAGATCGTTTTCTTCTTCTATCAAAATAAGACATTGACCTGAGCGACATATGAGGGGATTATAGGTTAATGGGTAATAATAAAAATGTGGCGCCCAACATGTGGCTGCAAATGATCTAGGAGATTTATAAAAACATTATTTCACTTATATTCTGAGGAATATTCTGTTCATTTATGAAACACCAGCTCCTCCATGATCCACCTGATTTTCGAAAGTCCATCACGACAGCCTATAGTTCAACAGTTTTCTTAATGTTCAGCAATTCCCCTATGATTCAGCAGTTTACCTTAGGTTCACCAGCTTACATTTAACCCTGGGTGAGCTGGTTAACCATAGGTGAGCTGGTGAACCCTGGGTGAGCTGGTGAACCCTGGGTGAGCTGGTGAACCCTGGGTGAGCTGGTGAACCCTGGGTGAGCTGGTGAACCGTAGGTGAGCTTGTGAACCCTGGGTGAGCTGGTGAACCGTAGGTGAGCTTGTGAACCCTGGGTGAGCTGGTAAACCATAGATGAGCTGGTGAACCGTAGGTGAACTTGTGAACCTTGGGTGAGCTGGTAAACCATAGGTGAGCTGGTGAACCCGGGGAGAGCTGGTGAACCATAGGTGAGCTGGTGAACCCTGGGTGAGGTGGTGAACCATAGGTAAGCTGGTGAACCGTAGGTGAGCTGGTGAACACTGTGTGAGCTGGTGAACCCTGGGTGAGCCGGTGAACCATAGGTGAGTTGGTAAACCCTGGGTGAGCTGGTGAACCATAAGTGAGCTAGTGAATCTTTTTTGAAGCTGGTGAACTGTAGGTGAGCTAGTCAACCATAGGTGAGCCAGTGAACCGTAGGTGAGCTGGTGAACACTGGGTGAGCTAGTGAACCATAGGTGAGCCAGTGAACCGTAGGTGAGCTGATAAACACTGGGTGAGCCGGTGAACCATAGGTGAGTTGGTAAACCCTGGGCGAACTCTGGTTGAGCTTGTGAACCCCCTGGTAAGCCGGTGAACCCTGGTTGAGCTTTTGAATCTTGGTGAGCTAGTGGACTACGGTTGACCTGGTGAACCATAGGTGAGCTGGTGAACCCTGGGTGAGCTGGTGAACCATAGGTGTGCTGGTGAACCCTGGGTGAGCTGGTGAACCCTGGGTGAGCTGGTGAACACTGGGTGAGCTGGTGAACCATAGGTGAGCTGGTGAATCCTGGGTGATCTGGTGAACCCTGGGTGATCTGGTGAACCCTGGGTGATCTGGTGAACCATAGGTGAGCTGGTGAACCATAGGTGAGCTGGTGAATCCTGGGTGAACTGGTGAATCCTGGGTGAACTGGTGAACCCTGGGTGAGCTGGTGAACCATAGGTGAGCTGGTGAACCCTGGGTTAGCTGGTGAACCCTGGGTGAACTGGTGAACCGTAGGTGTGCTGGTGAACCCTGAGTGAACTGGTGAACCCTGGGTGAGCTGGTGAACCCTGGGTGAGCTGGTGAACCATAGGTGAGCTAGTGAACCCAGGGTGAACTGGTGAACCCTGGGTGAGCTGGTAAACCCTGGGTGAGCTGGTGAACCCAGGGTTAGGTGGCGAACCCAGGGTTAGCTGGTGAACCCTGGGGAGCTGGTGAGCCCTGGGCGAGCTGGTCAACCATAGGTGAACTAGTGAACCCTGCGAGAGCTGGTGAACCCTGCGTGAGATTTTCAACCTTGCCACTACACCTAGTGCCCTATAGCTCACATACATCTAACATTTCCCGGTATAGACGACTTTCAAAGGATCCATGGAGGAGTCCGAAAAAATATTCTCCTGCGGTCAACATTCTTTGAATCTCAATTGTTATTTAAATGTTATTGCCAAACATTTTTTATTCATTTTGAATCATTGTAAAATCCGCTAACGACTCTTCCCAATTGCCAGCCATCATAATTCCCTTGAGAATTAACATATTGGCGAATAATGAGGTCAGATTTATTTGTTGAAGAACATACATAAATATTTGAAAAGAGAACAAAAAACAATATCTGAACGGTCCCACAATCCCCAATTTTGTCAAGCAAATAATTTCTTTTGCCATTGTAATGCCATGACATATGGTTCTACTTTTTACCATAACAATGTCATCGTGGTGGTGGCAGCAACAAAAAAAAAAAAAAAACGAAGAAAGTTACAACCAATCATTAAAACATAACGTTCTGTGAAACGAAAAGAAAATCAAAAAATAAAAAATCACAGAGGAAACACAAAATTTATGTTCGACGCCAACACCATCCATCCAATGCGAGAATAACGAGCGAAATTTTTTCAACGAATTTAATTGTAAAAATTCATCGAAGCATAGCAATTGCCCCCCACTCCCCAAACTTCGCTTTCAATCCTTTCTACCCACTCCCGACCACTTCAAGCCATAGAGCTCCAACAGCAACCCAACACCACACCATATCAGACAAAAGTTATAAACGTTATGTACTAGTTGTGTGTTGCGTCGTTGTGATTCTCTTTGCATCTCATTCTCTCTCTCTCACTCTTTTGTCTCTCTACCCGGTTGTAACGGCATAATCACCAAATATAATTGGCCA